TTTATCTTACACAACTTCAGGAAATTCAAACAGGCTGAAAGAAAAAAATAGTAAATTTATCACAGTAGTTCAAATACATTTTAAGCAAGTAAAAGCACAGTTAGTATAATTTAATTTCTAAATTACTATACAAAACCTCCCTCAAATGGTCAAATATTCAAAGCCATTAAAAAAAGGCAGTGAGCTTAAAAAAGAGCAATATATTTTAAACTATTTTTTTATTCTTTTTTTTAGGGTTTCTTGGGCATGTGAGCTAATGCAGAAAACTGACAATTCTGAGATAAGCAATCATTTATAAATTGATTTTATAAGAGAAAAAAAGAAAAATTAGTTACAATACTGGCCATATCTGAAAATACCATTTCTGCCACTTAAATAGTAAAATATAGGTTAAAAAAACGCCACAAGAGTTCAAGAGAGGGATTGTTTCTGGCTAGAGAAATTAGAAGACCTCGTAGAGACTTTTAAAAAAAAACTGGATTGGCAGAGAACAGAGAATGCACAACATGTACAATGTTATATTCTATACAATAAAACCCTAATATGCAAATAGACCCACAGGGGGAGCACTGCTCAGCCAGAAGCCAGGCTCATGGCTGGGGAGCGCAGGGGTGGAGGGAGCCTCCCGGCCTCCGCAGCAGCAGCAGCAGCAGCAGCAGCAGCAGCAGCAGCAGCAGCGCTAAGGACCCCTCGGGGGTCCTAGACTGTGAGAGGGCACAGGCCAGAATGAGGGACTCCCCCCAGTTCACGAATGTCAAGCACTGGGCCTCTAGTGGTACAAATAAATATACAAAAGATGTATGACTCTGGTAGGAAATAATGACAATCAGGGGATGCTGTACATGTGTGGGAGTAGGGGGTATATTGGGCATCTCTGTATCTTCCCCTCAGTTTTTCTATAAAGCTAAAACTGCTCTAAAAAAAGTAAAGTCTTAATTTTTAAAAAAGGAGGGGAGAACCTATATATTAAAAGAGATCTAAGAGATATATCAACCAATATAATACTATATGGTCATTGTTTGGAACCTAAATTACCAAATATTTTTTAAGTTCTTTATTGTTTAAAGTATTACATACAGTATTACATATGTCTCCCCCCACTGACCTCTCCCAGGCCACCCCCACCCCCCAGCCCATGCCCTCACCCCCCTAGTGTCTGTGTCAATTGGTTATGCTTATATGCATGCATACAACTCCTTTGGTTGGTCTTTTACTGCCCTGCCCCCGCCCTTCCCGCCCTTCCCTCTGAAGTTTGGTGTCTATTCCATGCTTCTGTCTCTGGATCTATTTTTGTTCATCAGTTTATGTTGTTCATTATATTCCACAAATGACTGAGATCATGTAATATTACCAAATATCTTCTAAATGTTTATGACACATTGGGAAAATATAAATGATACTAAGGAAATAGTTTTTTATAATAAAAAGTAAAAAAGGAAAGAAAAAGAATGGAGCCGAAACCGGTTTGGCTCAGTGGATAGAGCGTCGGCCTGCGGACTGAGGGGTCCCAGGTTCGATTCCGGTCAAGGGCATGTACCTGGGTTGCAGGCACATCCCCAGTGGGAGATGTGCAGGAGGCAGCTGATCGATGTTTCTCTCTCATCGATGTTTCTAACTCTCTATCTCTCTCCCTTCCTCTCTGTGAAAAATCAATAAAATATATTTAAAAAAAAAAAAGAAAGAAAGAAAAAGAATGGAGAGAGGAAAAGAAGGAGGAAGAAAAATAAATCTGGATATGTTTATTATGGATTGATAAGTAGTTATACATATAAACAGATAACCGATCACATGCTTACAAATACATATAAACAGAGTGGGCTTATGTTTTTAGTGTTCCAAGGTATCTTTGCAAACCCATGCTTGTCTGTTCTAATTAGGTGTTGATTAGGTGGAGTACCCCTACCTCCCCTTAGTTTCTCATAGCTCTGGGGAAAGAGGCCCACTCATTTGCCAGGTGCTGGTCCATGTGAAAAGTGGCAACCAGACTCACAGGAAAGCAAAACCATAATAGGACAAATACAATTTCCTGCAACATCCTTTGATCCCCTGGATCCCACCATCCTTATAGCCAAGCTTACTCCAGTAACACAAGACAATCAATTATTTTTCTTTCAGCCAGTTTGACTTGAATTTCTCCCACTTGCACAGAAAGTCCTAATACAACACACACAAATATGGATGAGTCAATATAATGAACCTGCAATGTGTGCCCTCAAAGGGTCAGCTGAGCATGACACGAAGTGTTCAGGATATAGAGACAGATTATTAAGGCACAGTCCCTGCTCTCTTGGAGTTTATATTCTTTTGGTTTGGTTTTGTTAATCCTCACCTGAGGATATTTTCCTCATTGATTTTAGAGAAAGTGTATGGGAGGAGAAGAAAAGGAGAGAGAGAAACATTGATGTGAGAGACACACATCAATTGGTTGCCTCTCGAACACGTCCCACATGTTCCAACCCGGGATCAGGCCTGCAACGAGGTACATGCCCTTTACCAGAACTGAACCCACGGCCCTTCAGTCCGAGGGCGGACGCTCTAACCACTGAGACAAACCGGCGAGGGCAGAGTTTACATCCTGAGAGGAGATAAGACTTGCAAGTAATTCCAGGACAACAGATAAGTGTCTTAACAAAATCTGTGTTGTGTGATTTATAAAAGACTTGAGACAGAGCAGACGAAACAGATCTAACTCTGCTTAGGGACAATGGAGAGACAGCAGCGATCATACTTGACCCGAGATATGAACAATAAGCAGGAAGTCGGCCAAAAGGACAACAGAGACTGTGGGGTTGAGGCAACAGGATGAGAGGCATGGGTATAGAGTTGAGTACCTAGTGGTGGGGTAGGGGTGGGACTAGGGGTGGGGAGGGGGGTGAGTGTGGGGGAGACAGCTGAGTGTGGGAGGGGTGTGTAACCCGAGGCGCTCACTGTACTGCACCGTGGCTTGTTTCACCCGCTCTGGTAGACTCTGCACCCCATGCGGGCAGGACCCTGACTGTAATAATCTCCCCGGGCCTCCAGATGGCCCTTATGCTGACACATTCTCCACACTGCTGCCTATTAACCTTCCTAAAACAAGTTTGCCAAGCCCACTCCCGATCTCACGCATACCACCAGACTCGCAGCCAGCCGTCCCGTGCCACACACCATTCCTTCAAGCCACACCAGACTCCTTGCTGTTTCCAGAAAATTCCAAACGAACTCAAAGAAAACCCTCATTCCCACTCATCTTTGAAAGAGCGAGTTCAAGTGTTCTGTATTCTTTGCTTGCTTCCCTTCTCCCCACCCCCAACCAGAAAGACTCTGGTTTCCATAGCAACTCACACAAACTTCCTCTACACTGAAAAGTTCAATGGGTTCCAGCGTCAATACCTCCTCACCCCCTCCCCCCACCCCATAGAAAAGTACACCCTCCCGGGAAGGCGCCTACCCCAAGGCTTGGCACAATCTTGCCCAGTCGGCGAAGAATGAGCGCCTGCTCAGGCTCGGGGCACACCTCGGACAGCCCTTCCGCCATCCAGGCAGGATGTCCACGCCCACTGGCCGGAGCACGCCCTCCCGGCTCTCCCCGACTCACAGCTCACACTCCAAGGAGGACCGGTTGTGCTCCGGTCCCCAGGAAAGCGCGGTAAAGCCGCTAAAACTTTGGGGGCCCTGGGTATGCCCCCCTGGATATGCCACACACACACGCACTGGAAGACCACAAGCACCCGCCCCTCACTGGCCAGCACCAGACCGGGGAGAAGGGCTGCGCCCCATGAAAACTTCTCTAACCGAGGCCCGCTCATCGGAGCCGGGTCGCGGGCACGGGGAGCCGGGCGGCACAGGGAGAAAGGACGCCGCCGCCCGGCGAGAGGTGCGCGGGGCGGGCCTCACCGCGCGGCCGCTCCTCGGTGTACAGGTCGATGACCACGTCGCCCAGGGTGGTCTCCAGCAGAACCGCCATGGCGCCCGCTCCTCCTCCGCAGCCAGCCCCGCGGTGACGGGCGCAGTCCGCGTCGTCCAGGCCTCGCGTCACCCCCGGCGCGACGCCTTATGACGTCATCCCTTCGGCGACACCGCCCCTTCTGGCGGCACTGGCGGCGGCCCCGCCCGTGGGTCCCGCCCCCGGCGCGGCCCTTTTTGAAAAATCTTGGTGCGCCCTGGGCTGGGGCGGAATCCCGTCCCAAAAGGGCCTCTGTGAAGGATTCGGGGTCCAGTTTATGTCCGTCTCAAGGACCCGGCGAGCCCTAGCCGGTTTGGCTCACTGGATAGAGCGTTGGCCTGGGGACTAAAGGGTCCCGGGTTTGCTTCAGGTCAGGGGCACATGCAGGCTTAATCCCCAGTCCGGGGTGTGCCTGGGGCAGCTAATCAATGATTCTCTCTCATCACTGATGTTTCTCTCTATCCCTCTCTCTTCCTCTCTGAAATCAATAAAAATATATTTAAAAAGAAAAAGAATAGAACCAGGCGGGCCTCTGAGCGACCTGTTCCTGCCCCTCAGGCCGCCTCAGTTGTAGCTTGAGGGCCACCGCGGTGCCACCCACTTGGGGGGGGGGGGGCGACAACATGTAGGCTTCAGCCGGAAATCTCTACTGATTTTGTCAATAATCTCTAACTTAGAAGACATACAAACTACTTTTTGAAAGATCAGACAGAGGCCGAAAACCAGGACTACAGGCTTTATTAGAGGAGAAGGACCTGCCGGCTGTCTCGCAAGGGGAGGATGGCAACTCGTGCAGGGTGGGCGCTCCTTTTGAGGGGCGGAATGGGAAGGAATGGGGGCTTAGAGTACTCGGGGCACGCTGATGGGTGGCTTACTGTATGATCTATAGGAACAAGGGCTTAGGGCAGTGGTTCTCAACCTTTCTAACGCCGTGATCCTTTAATACAGTTCTTCATGTTGTGGTGACCCCCAACCATAAAATTATTTTTGTTGCTACTTCATAACTGTTATTTTGCTACTGTTATGAATCGTAGTGTAAATATCTGATATGCAGGATGTATTTTCATTGTTACAAATTAAACATAATTAGATAAACCCCCCCGGAGCCCTAGCAGTGTGAGGAGACGAGATCGACCCCCGGACCGAGCAAGGCCCGCGCGCTGCTGCATCCCTGCGTCCCGCTCGGACGTCCCGCCACCATCGCCATCATGCCCAAGAGAAAGGCTGAAGGGGATGCTAAAGGAGATAAAGCCAAGGTGAAGGACGAACCTCAGAGAAGATCCGCCAGGTTATCAGCTAAACCTGCTCCTCCAAAGCCAGAGCCCAAGCCTAAAAAGGCCCCTGCAAAGAAGGGAGAGAAGGTACCGAAAGGGAAAAAGGGGAAAGCTGATGCTGGCAAAGATGGGAATAATCCTGCAGAAAATGGAGATGCCAAAACAGACCAGGCACAGAAAGCTGAAGGTGCTGGAGATGCCAAGTGTGTGCATTTTTGATAACTGTATTTCTGGTGACTGTACAGTTTGAAATACTATTTTTTATCAAGTTTTATAAAAATGCAGAATTAAAAAAAAACACAAATTAAACATAATTAAAGCATAGTGATTAATCACAAAAACAATATGTAATTATATATGTGTTTTCCGATGGTCTTTGGCAACCCCTGTGAAAGGATCGTTCGACCCCAAAGGGGTAGCGACCCACAGGTTAAGAACCACTGGCTTAGGGTATTTGGCAGGTGTGGATTGGTGGTCCAATGTATAGTCCATATAAGGTATATAGTTAGTCGCTCAGGTATTTCCCAGCTGCAGGTTACATCATACTCCGCCACCAGTTGCGGGAAAGGGAGGATCTATCACTTTTGGCCTAGGTAGAGAGTTTCTATGCAAAGCTTATTCCCCAAACTCTCCAGGACAAGCTGATCACTCTCATTTATGCCATTTTTTACATACTTCTAACCTCCAATAACTTCATGTCTGACAATGGCACTGATGCCAATATGCTGGTGCGCATGCAGCTTGCTGTCCTGCAAGAAATGATTGTTTGGCTCTGACCCAGGGGTCTCATATCTCACACCAGCACCCATGAAACTGGCAAGCTAACTTGTTAATTTGAAAATAGTGCAAAATCTCAGACTTCTCATGGTTTCTGACAATTACTTCCTAAATTCCTGTCATTATCTTACATATTTCTTATTAACGTCTTACTTATAGCGTTTTTCTCAGACACTAATTTACAATCTGCTTTTTAACAACCTTGGGTACAGAGGTCGTCTTGCTTTTAGAAACTCGGTGGCCTGGAAAACCCCAGAGACAGTAATTTTTAAAACTGCCCCAGGCAATTCCCCCATGTACAGCTAAGGGTGAGAACTGCCGACTTGATAAAATTTCCCCGCTCAACGTGATATATCTTCTTTTTAGTATATAATAGTGGTCTGACATACGGCAGTTATTTTCACTTTATAGACAGAGGTGAATATATATATACACACGGAGATATAGCTATGTGCATAGACAGTCTAATGCGTACTAATTTTAAAATAATGCAACGAAAATGCTTACACTCGTGTAGGCGGAGAAATCCTCCAATCCAGAGCGCCCGTCTAATGACGCCAGAGGACCTTCTCTGACTTGACTCCGCCCCTCGACATTGTGCGGCGCCGCGCGTGCGTGGTCAGCTCTTCCCGAGCCGTCAGAGTCGCTCCCCTACCTTGCCCCGCCCCAAGCCCCGCCCCAGCCCGCCCCCAGAGTGGGTCCGCCCCGCCCAGCCCTGCTCGCACCTCGCCGGCCGCCGTTGGCCAGTCCAAAATGGAGGGTGCTCCGCTGGCGCCACTCGCACTCCGTCTGCTCTTGCTCGCGACATTGCCGGCCGCAGGGTGGCTGCAGACGGGAATCCCTGAGCCGCCGCCGCCCGGAGCTCCGAAGGTAGGACAGGGCGGGCGCAGTGTGGCCGCTCCGCCGCCTGGACCTTCCGGGGAGGCCAGGGCCGTGGGGCCGCCGCGTCCGTCAAGATGTATCCCACCTCAGGCCTCCTGGCCGTGGACTGCGGTCCGGGCGCCCAAAGGAGAAATCGGGGAGAAGCGCCCCAGGAAATGGGAGGGGCGTGGAGGAGGTAGTGGGAAAGCGAACCGGGCTCTTGGATGTGTGGTTAAGCCTCGCGACGCGAAGCTTCGGGATCTCACGCAGTCTGAACTGTTGCCATCCCGATGGGGTTTCGCTCGAAAATGTACGCGATCGCGAGTGACCCCAACCTTGGTCATGGCTGCTCCCTGAGTAGAGCCGGGCCTGGGACCGGGCAGCGTCTCTGTGCTCGGGAAATGTGGAAGTTGCTCAATCGGAGCGCGCGCCAGGGCGATTCCAGGTACTGTTTACCCGGCGGGCGGCGGGGTCGCCTCCCCCGGTGCAGGGCTCGGGCTGCGCGCCGGGGCCGGGGCGCCGAAGGAGAGACGGAGGCCCAGCAAGTAGCCTGGCGCGTCCGTTTGGCAGGTGATGTTAGCGAAGTGGTTTTTGGTGGGACCAGCAGCACCGACATCCCCTGGGGACCCGGTGGAGAGGCACTAATCAGACGCTGTGGGGTGGCGCCCAGATCTGTTTCCGTGGGTGGTTCGCAGGTCAGCTGAAGTGTGAGAACACCGCATCCTGGTGTGAAAGGGTGTTTGGTCCCCACCGTTGTTGTTGTTGTTGTTGTTGTTTGGTGTGTGTGTGTTTTGTTTTGCCCAGGAGTCGTGCATGTGTGTGTGTGTCTGTGTTTGCCCTCCCTAGAGGCGTGCTGACCTAAACCAAAATTTGCTTTTCATCAATCGAATGTAGGCTGGGAAAAGTTTTCCCAGAATGGAAAGATACAGTACAGGTACACCTTTTCTTACGAAACAGGTACGACTTTTCAGAGGATTTGAATACTCTGAATTCAGAGACAACTGACACTATGTCACATTTTTACTTTCAGTTAATTGTTTAGAGTTATGATATTATTCTCCCGGGTACAAACATAAAAATATCTCAGTTTGAGTTTTGCTGAGGCGTTCAAAAAAGCCACAACAGTGCAAGCCCTAAGAACCCCTTACAACTGGAAGTATATGGAAGACCACAGTTGCAGCTGGTCAAAAATATGAATGTGGTGGGCAATCACCAAGACAATAAATAAAAGTGAAATAATTTCTGAAATTCAAATAAGACATTGTTGTCCCCCTTTCCAAATTTTATAGATTCATTATAGTCACTTTTGAACCCAAAAGACATTGGAGTCTGTCGCTATAATCGGAGAAAAATGCATTTTGACTGCGAGCTGAAAATACTCCATACTGTGGTCTCTTAGTTCATCATTTCAGTTCTCCTTACTACCCCTTCATTCCAGTTTGGAAAGTTCAGATCTAAACTTAGAATTTCGTAGATGAAATTAGTGTGGAATCGCTAGAAGGAGAATCTCATTCGGTGGAAATGTTTATATGGGAAGCTGACAGCTGTTGACCTAAACATTTTCATTGTTTTATTGACTGGGAATCAAACCCTCGACCCTTTGGTCCGCAGGCCAGTGCTCTAACCATTGAGAAAAACTGGCCAGGGCTTCAATGTTTTATTGTAAAAAATTTCAAATGTGCAAAACATTTGAAAAAATTTTACAGTGGTCACCCATATTACTAGTACAATGATGTTGTATGGTCTGCTCTCTCCATGACAGTAGCCATTGGACTACTGTGGCTATTGAGTATTTGAAATGTGGCCAGTGAGGCCGAGAAACCAAGTTTTAAATTTTTTATTTAATTAGTGTTTTGATTAATTTAAATGAAGAAAGCTACATATGGTTAATGGGTGCCATATTGAATAGTATAAACTTAGACTACCATTAAGGTTTTACTGTACTTGCTGTATCACATATTTGCTCATTTCTTCATTTTTGTATCCACCCTGCTCTAAATGTAAGAACATTTGTTGGGAGGTGGGAGTGGGCGGGGAGAGGTTAATGGGGGGAAAGGAGATATATGCAATAGTTTCAACAATAAAGAATTTTTAAAACTTAAGATAAAAGAAAATTTGTTTAAGTCAGGAATATTTTCCCTATTTCCCCTCAGTGATTCAGATTTACTGGATTATAAACATTTTTGTTTTGTTTATATATGGAGTTGTCAGAAGTTGAGGTTAGATTATAAAACTAATAACATTTTTATAGTATAGTCTTCTAATATTAAAATATATGGTCACCAAAAAGAGGCATCCAGAGGACACTTATTTTCTTATATGTGTTAATATTTATTTTATATATTTCCCTCAAGAGTTACTCATTTATTTTAAACTAGGTATCTATAGGAACAACAAATACACACCTATCAACAAGTGAATCTAAAAATCAAGTGAATAAATAATCTGATGAACAATAAACTGGTGATTATAATAGAATCAGGGGCATAGAAAGGGAGTGGACTGACTATTCTTGGGGGGGAAAGGGGTGTGGGGGATGCAGGAAGAGACTGGACAAAAATCGTGCACCTATGGATGAGGATAGTGGGGGGGGAGTGAGGGCGGAGGGGGGGGGGGAACCGGGTGGAGGGGAGCTATGGGGGGGAAAAAGAGGAACAAATGTAATAATCTGAACAATAAAGATTTAATTAAAAAAAAATAAACTAGGTATCTATTATCTTGGTCCTTAGGAAGTGGTTGTGTCCCTGAGGGCTATCCTAAATAATAAAAGCCTAATATGCTAAGTGTCCCGTCGTTCAGTCATCTGTTCAGCCCATCAAAGCATAATATGCTAAGGCTGCTCAACCACTGGCTATGATGTGCACTGACCATCAGGGGGCAGATGCTTAATGCAAAAACTGCCCCCCAGTGGTCAGTGCACTCCCACAGCCAGCTAACCTCTCCTGGTCCTTCCTCTCCCCGCCCCCCCCCCCCCCCCCAGCAAACCACCTGCTGTCCCTCCCCCTGTCCCTCCAGCCCCATCCAGCAGGCCCTGTCTGGCAGCTGGCAGGCCCCCACGGCCCGGCCAGCAGCCCCAGCAGCTCCACCCAACAGGACTGGGCAAAATGGCCCCCAGTAGGCCTGATCGCCGGCCAGGCCTAGGGACCCCACCGGTGCATGAATTTTGTGCACCAGGCCACTAGTCTTGTGAACAAAGAAATTAGAGGAAGAGTTGAAAATGGGTGAGGAGAAATTTCAGTTCTGCCACCCATTTTCTTTTTTATAATAGATTTTTATTGATTTTTAGAGAAAGAGGAAGGAGAGGGATAGAGAGGGAGAAACATTGATGAGAAAGAAACATCATCTATTGGCAGCCTCCTGCACACCCCCCGGGCATGTGCCCTCTGCCACCCACTTTCTAAGTATACACCACTCTGGTTGGTAAACCTGAACTTCCAGTTCAGTTAGGTTCTCAGGAAGAGTAACAAATACAACCTCTCTCTGAACTTTGCCTCAGGAGGCAATAAGGGATTAGAATCTCTTCTGAAATGTAATCATTCAGAAGGACCCCCCAAAATTGAACTTAGTTCTTTAGAAAATACACTATGCTAGTGTCT